GGCTGGGCTCTGTATGTAGCCTTGTCTGTAGGCATCAAAAATTACCTATAGGTCTCCACGAACAGTTCAGTGTTAGAGAGAGACGATGAACGTCACTATCCGATCCACAAGAGTTCGATTGACGTCGATGAACGATTGAAGTGAATCGACCAACTACGTGAGCTGATAGAATTTCGGAATAACGAAGGCACGGGCCAATCGGGAACCCGGCGAGGTTCACAAAAATAACAATGCCCTTTATATCTCGGCCACTCTACAGATAATCCAACCATCGGAGCGGATGGAACTCTTCGTCAAGCTTCCAACGCACTTGGAATCACTCAAATCCGAGTTCGGACGAAGAATTTACGGCGGAAACAATCAAACGTACGCAACGGAGCGTCTCAGGCTGAACTGGGACACCCGGGGTGTCTAGGCTTTGCCTAGACACCCCAGGGGTGTCCCAACGCCCTATGTGTGCCCTCATGCCTATAAATAGGAACCTTAGGCCTCACTTTTGGAGGATCTGGATTTTTGGAGAGTTGGCGAAGCCCTGCTGCAGTGAAGAGTGGCCGAGCGCTTCAACACAAGGGAGTTCCTCATCACCCGTGCCCGTTCCTTAGCATTACCCTTCGCCGGTAATCCTAAGAAGAGCAAATATCTCGCTTTAGCCGAGATAGGCGCTTCAAGCTTCTAGATCTCCTCGCGGATCGACGAAGCTCTGCCCGATTTTTCTGGATCAGATCTGATTGCCAGGTAGTCCACGGATATCGACGTCCCCGTCACAGGCTAAAGACCCACGCAAGCAAGAGACGATAAACGGATCTTGTGTTTATTTTCAAGAAAGTTATAATTTTTATTTTTCGTTATTTGAATTCATTTGTAACGTTTGAAGTTTCTAATGAAATCAATGATGAAGGCAACTTTTGACGAAAATACTGTCCATCAGGCCTGCCCGGCCCGGCCCGGCCTGGAAATCCAGGCCCGGGCCGGGCAAAACCGGAGCCCGGACCCGGGTACCCTGGGCTGGGTTCCGGGCCGGCCCGGTTTATTTTATTTTTTTATCAAATTTTTTAATTTTTATTTAAATTTTAAATTATACAAAAAAACAAAAAAAATTAATAAAAAACAATAATTTTATTAATAACTTAAAATGACATAAATTACAAATAAAAAATTATAAAAATAAATTCTTTATTAATAATTAATAAATCATTTACAAATTACAAGTATAAATTTATTTTGGAATTCATCGCATCACAATAGATAAGTACATCCCAACTATATTTTTTTAAATTTTTTTTCTTTCTTTTTTGATAAAAAATGCTAAAATTAGTTTAATATTATTATATTTTATATAATTATGTATTAGTATATACTTACAAATTATTATATAACTATATATTATATATACATATATTATATGTAAATATATTGTATATATTGATAAGTTATAACTTGAGAGAGAGAGAGAGAATCGCATAAGTAGCCGTTGCCCGTTGGGCCAATGGGGAAGAAGTAGCCGTTGTAATATACTATACTTATATATACTTATATACTAAGAGAGAGAGAGTATACACATACACACACATATTATACATATATAAGAGAGAGTATACTTATATAAGAGGGAGTATACATATATAAGAGAGAGAGTATATTAGTATATATATATACACACATATATTATACATATATAAGAGTGTATACTTAGATATACTTATATAAGAGAGAGTATACTTATATATACTTATATACTAAGAGAGAGTATATATATACACACATATGACATATTATACATATATAGAAATATATTTTAAGGCCCGGCCGGGCCCGGGCCGACGGGCTTTTTGGACCCCCCCTATCTGTATGTATACTCAATGCGCGCATCACAAATCTGTGCCACATATTTGTGGGGAAAAAAGCAATTTGTGGGACTCTAAATCAAATTGAGGAAGAGTGAGATGTGTTTGGGTTACAAGCTATTTGTGGGCTAAATCGAATGGGTGAATGGCGGGCGTGGGACAGGTGACAGTATAAAACTTAGTGTTGGAAATTGAGGAAGAGCGAGTCTTGAACTGTGTTGGCGTTAAAAGCTATTTGTGGGCTAAATCAAATGGGGGGAGGGCGTGCGTGGGACAAGTGACAGTATAAAACTTAGTGTTAGGTTACCATTCTAAATATGTTTTGTGCTTTGATATAAACCATTTTATTGTTGTTGATATGACACTTATGGACAATAATCGCTACCCTCATCACCATTTCAGTGACCAAAAGAGGTTGGTATACGAAAAAATCTGACCACTTAGAGAGGCTAATAGCGATACGCCGTGTGTGCTCCGAAAGGTAATAGGTTACCTAGGTAACGTAAGCCCTATTGCTTTATCTCGTGCAATGTGGCTGCTTATACATTGTCTAACGCAGACCATCACCAACTCGCTCTCCATCCCACATCAGCTATCAGAGCTAAAGACGAGTTTATCCCCTCGTTGGGCTAAATGGATAAGGCAAAATCCCTCCTCACAAGGGCTAGTGAATCCTAACAACTCATGTGAGAGCACAAATGCAT